GGGGTGGTGACGTGGGGACCTCTTCCATCCACAGCCAGCTCCCCTACGAGGTGAGCCCTGAGCAGGCTCTCAGCCACCCCGAGGTCCAAAGGCAGTTGGACGTTTCCATCCGCAACCTCCTGGTGGTGACGGAGAAGTTTGTCTCTGCCATCACCTCCTCCGTGGACAAGATCCCGTACGTATCTCCGTGGGTTCTGTGCACCTCCCTGCAGTGCTGTTGGCTTGAAGGTAGATCCAGCAAGGCCTTGAAGGGAGGTTGGGTGGTGGGAGACTTGATGACCCCTTAGCTGCTGCAGGACTGAGTGACTGCACCATCAATGAGAGGAGATCCAAATATCAGCAGTGCCCTGGTGGGCTGGGTGGTCCTGCCACTCTGTTTCTGAGGTCTCCCCAAGGAGGAAGCTGAGCTTTGGTGGTCCTGAAGGAGGGAGGCTTCCTCCAGGGACCTTGGGCTGGCAGCAGGGGTGAGGAGGGAGCTGAGGGATGCTGCAGAGGGGATGCCGGCAGCCTCCAGCCCCTCCAAGTCCCAAGGCCTGGGGACTTGCCACTTCTTGAGTGATGAGTAGTGGGGATGGGGCAGAGAGGCCAAGCCTGGTGCTGCCCTATATGTTGACCTCTCCCTGCCCTCCCCTCAGCTATGGGATGCGCTACGTGGCCAAAATCCTGAGGACATCCTTGGCTGAGAAATTCCCCAGGGCCCCAGCGGAGGAGATCGACAAGGTACCCTGGGGCTGGGTGTCTGCACGGCGTGGTGGGGTTCAGCTGGGGGTGTGTGTGAGGGGCCAGTATCCCTCCCCACTTCTGGAGTCCTCTCGACTTAAAAACACCTTCAAGTCAACCTTTTCCTGGAGGCACTAAGGAAATGCCAAGGGTGGGATCACCTCTGTGCTGCGGGCAGTGCGAGGATGAAACAATCCTGCCTGCTGAGCTTCCCCCCTTGGGCACCAGCCTGGCTGCTCCTCAGCTGCCTTGTGCCCTAGGTCGTGGGGAACCTGCTCTACTACCGCTTCATGAACCCGGCCGTGGTGGCCCCCGATGGCTTTGACGTGGTGACCCCCTCAGCTGGGGTGACCCTGCCCCCCGAGCAGCGCCGCAGCCTGGGCTCCATCGCCAGGGTGCTGCAGCACGCGGCCGCCGGCAAGGCCTTCCATGGGGAGAACGCCCACCTCCGGGGGCTCAACCAGTACCTGCAGGACACCCACGCCAAGTTCAGGTGGGCGCCGGGGCGGGAGGGTGCCCACGGGCCGGTGGCAGGGTCTGGGGGCTCATCAGAGGTCCCTCTCTGCAGGAGGGTCATCTCCGCTGCCTGCAGCGTCCCCGAGCCGGAGGAGAGGTTCAACGTGGACGAGTACTCAGAGATGGTTCAGGTGGCCAAGCCAGTCATCTACATCACGGTGGGGGAGCTCATCAACACACACAAGGTAGAGGCATAAAACATCCTCAGACAAAGCTGCTGCTCCCACCTCCTGGGCTCTCTGCTGCTTCATCACCCTCCTCTGTGTCCCACCACCAGCAGAGCTCTTCCCAGCCTTTTGTCCCCCTTCTCAAACCACCCAGATTCTGCAGGTTTTCTGCTGCTTACCCCATGACTTTGAAGCTCCCTCTTGGTTTTGTATCACTCTTAACTGGCCCTTTCTCCCTCTTTCTTTGCCCCTGACTCTTCTCCCTTGCACCACCCAGCTGCTGCTCGAGCACCAGGACTCCATTGCCCCCCACCACGACGACCCCCTGCACGAGCTGCTGGAGGACCTGGACGAGCTTCCTACAGTCCAGTCCCTTGTTGGTAGGTGGGGAGTGGGGCCCACCACCCACCCCAGCAGGAGGATGGAGATGGGAATGCTTCCCTTGGATGAAGCTCTAGCTGGATTGCTTTGGGCATGGGGAATCCAACCCTCTGAGCCCCATGTGGCTACTGGGGCTCTCTGTCCTTGCAGGGGAGAGCGTTGCCAGCCCAGGGGACAGCAGTGCTGAGCAGGTCCTCTCCCAGCTCAGCAGAATGGAGATCTCCCTCACCCTCACCAGCAAGATGATGCCAGCAGCCAGCAGTGAGGAGAACGACACAAGGAGCTTGCTGCTGAGGTGAGGATGGGC